TAGTTGAGGTATACCTATGATGAAAATTACAGGCCTCTCTCATCTTTTTAAGTGGGAGAACTTGCAGAATTGGTGGGTAACTAAATACTTTTTTGCCCCACTGTACCTGTGCTAGGAGGCTTCTGCAACATGCATTCCTCTCCCACACAAGCACTGCCGTTGTAGTGTGGATTTGCGCAACATACCTGCAGGACCTGTAACTATGCCAGGCTGTAACCAACAGAATTCATTTTTATCTAGGACACCAATAAGCATTAAGGGGGGATGCGCAAAGTACTTGTCATCTGAACAGCCATCAAAATGAAATAGGCATATCAACTGCAGTCTTCTTTTTTCTGTCCTATAAAAATGTAGAGAAACTCTCAAGTCAATCTCAGCTCCTGGTGACTATGTCTGCTGTAGTATTACTGAAGCTGTTTGTCACTGGATTCTTCTGGAAAGGGTCTCTTTGTATTCTTTTCTTTTTAGTCTGGCTATCAGATGGTATTCCCATGGCTGACCTTGTTTAGCTTCCAGGGTTGAACAAGTTTTGGCCAGGCACTACCATCCACTGTGGCTTTCCTTTGTCTTCTGCTAACCCATTCTCATCTGAGAAGGACACTACTGGCCACACAGGGTTGCTTTAGTTCATGTTCAGATGTTAAACTCTAAATTTATTTCAAATGATGTTGATTGTCAAGAGAAGTCAGAGCACACTTGTTTGGAATTTCAGAGAATCTCAAAAGATAATGTTTCAGGATAATACCAGAGCTTGATCATCTCAAATGTCCCATAGGGCATTTAGTTCAGTATGGGAATTACTGCTTGCATGGCCCACTGGCCCACAAACAGACTGTATTTTAGTCTATTGTGAAAGCAGCCCATGTGGGTTCTTTTGGCGGGGGGGGGGGGTTAGGTGTGCTATGCATACCAAGAAACTGAGTTAATTGAGCAAACTATCATTACATTAATCATTGGTACAAAATAGACTGAGATTGCTGGCCAACTGCAAGTGCCCCACAGACAATGGGGCAAAGAAGCTCAATTTCTGCATTATTCTTCAAGGGAATGTATTTTTTATTATTATATTCCATTCTTCCTTCTGATAGTTTTGTCTCTGTCACATCTCTGAGCTAGAGTAAGGACAGAAGACCATAACTGCTACTTAACTGGGCTGGAGGCTAATGAGCTTTGATGAAACTTTGCAAGAGCAGCAGAATTCAGCAAGGTGGCAGGAAATGACAACATACAGCACATCAAGGAGAAAACAAAAATGAAAGGTCCATGTCAGTAGTAAACTAGAACAAGGTATCATTTAACTCAAGATACCACCTTCATTTGGTTCTCGAGTTAGCACTCTACTTTCTCACAGCAAAAGAAAAGGGGGGTATACAATTCTCATCACTTTTTCTACCCTGATAGTGAGCATCCTCTGAAGCAGATACCATGTGGGTGTGATAAATTCAAGCAGTCCTAGTTCTTCCTTCTCAAAATAAGCCTGTATCTAAAATCAAGACCAAACTGACTTCAGGCCACAGATCATCTGGGTTTGTTAAAGGCTGTGGCAGGAGGAGCTAAGCAGAAGAGAATCAAGCAGGCTACATCAGCATGTTAGATGAGGACTAGATTCAGGTTTATGCTATGTGAACACAGCCAGTTAGAAGCAGCTTCTCATGAAGCTTAATCTCTCCTATGCCCTCTGGGGTTTGTGGTGGGAGAGAAAGCAGGAATAGTACTATATATCTAATAATGTGCTGGCTACCCCAGCATGGGATCAAAAAGCATTACATTAGTTTTCCTTGGATATTTCTGGTAGAATACTTGCCTTGGAAAGATTGTTGGGCAGCAAATTTATCTCTCGATCCAGTGCAACTTCCTTATGCTGACATTGAAGTCAGATCAAGAAGGGGTGTGTGTATTCATTCTTAAATGAACAGTAAGGACAGATCCTATTACTGCTCTGAAAGGAAAACAATTTTTCCTTTTGTAGATAATGAAATCGTAGAAGAAAAATTCCATATACCGATTAGATTCAGACATCACAAAAAGCCAAGTTTTACTTATTAGTTGGATTTACATAAGACTTAGCCATGAATTATAGTTTACTGATCACCATGCACTGTTCATACATCATCCTAGGCCAAACCAATCCATACTTATGATGGATGAACCAGACACTGATTCAGAGAGTTTCTTCAGGCTCTGCTTGTAGATACTAGGGACTTATTCTGCGGTTATTTATATCCTCAGTATGTTCCCTGCCGTTGAACTACAGCCATGCCCACAAGCAGCTCTGGATCCCTGAAGTACAAGATCCAATGCAACAGCTCAAAAAACACAGCTGTAAGTCATTTTTTTAACGAGTGTATCTGTTCTTTACAACTATTTGATTCAAACTCATTTTTAGACATAGGTATTGGGGGGTGCAAATGATGAAAAGTGCCTTGCAACACAAGTACAAAAGAATGGGGCTTGTATGGTGCTGTCACTACAAAAATGTTAGCATCATCATGGTTGGAAACAGATGATAATGTTTTCAAAATTATTGTGATTGCAAAAATGGTGCAAAACTCTAAGGGAGAAGGATACTTTACTAAACTAAATACACCAAATTAAGAATATTTTGGGTATGCCATGTTCTACCACTTAGAGTAGCATATCACCCTCCCCACACATAGAGCCTTACCTATTGTTACCTGAGTTGTGCTACATAATGGACCCTTTGTCCTAGCAGACTGCTCTCCCTTATGATCATAAGTTTTCATAAGCATTTATACTGAACAGATGAGGGCACTTTATTTATTTAGTAAATTTATAGGCTCCCCATCTCATATACATGATTCTGGGCAGCTTACAGTTAAAACAGAAAAAAGTAATAAAAGCAACCAGAACTAAAAAAAAAAAAACTAACAGAAATGACATAAAAATGACAAAAAACTTCCATGCACTACTCTTTTTACTCAATTCCCCCAAAGTTGTTTGAAACTTTGAGCCATTTAGTCTGTCTGTTTATCTATCCCAGAATCCCCGGTCAACAGCCAAACCTCTAGTGATAGAGTATTGGCTGTGCTTGGATGATTTTCCCCCCTTAGTCTCTCATAGAACCCCATCAAGTTCTCACAAAACCTAGGATTCCACAGAACACAGTTTGGAGGGAAAAAACTGTTTTAATAATAAACTGTGAATAAAAAATGTGAATAAAAACTGAATAGTAGCATATTGGCCAGACAGTCTTGGGCTGAATCTGTATGGATAGGAGGGAAGAGGATGAGTTGAGTCCAGGAGCTGAGAGGTGATCTTATGTAAAAGTTTCCATCAATGAGAAATTGTCTGTCTCACCAGCAATCCAGAATATCGATGTTCCAAAGAGCAATACGGTAGCTCAAACCACTGCTTGAGATGCACGCAGCTGAGAGAGCCTGCGTGAGAGAGACCTGAAAGAAAACGTTTTTTTCTTTTCTCTGTACAAATTCTCACTATGATTTCTCATCTTTCCTGGATTGTAGTAGATCAGTTCTCAAGAATGAAAAAAGTCCCATTTCCTAGTGCACCAACTCTGGAAAACTTAGAATGCTAAGAGACCCTTTATGAAATACATATGCCATCTGCCCTAGATTCTCAATAAAGAAAAAATATTTCCATTTTTTCCAGATCCTTTTTGACCTTAAATCAAACTAAGGACAAGAATGGGAATAGCACTTTCTAGATTCCTGGTCCTAGGAAATCATAATCGTGCATAGGCAGGACAGACAGTCTAGACCAGTGGTTCTCAGCATGGGCCATATGTTCCCCCAGGGGGCCATGCTACATTTCTATGTGGCCACTGTCTCTATATGATGCAGTTTAAATTAATAAACAGTGCAGAAGATCCAGCCATCAGCAACTAAGGGGTCATAGAGGTAAACGAGGCTCAGAAGGGGGCCGTGAGCAAAAAAAAAGTTGAGAATCCCTGGTCTAGTCTATAGAAGACACAACAGCAGGCCTTTGGACACATAAAACAGACAAATGCCAAATTGAACTAAAACTGGAATCTTAACATATAAAATAGAGGGGGTGTGGATCAAATCAAGAGGGGAATGTTCTATATTGTGCACCTTGTAGTAGAGAGAGGGAAATCTTGTGGCAACAGCTAGGTTTAATGAAGGCATCTTACTGACAAAAACTGCAGATTCTCTTAATGTGTCTGGTGGCTAAAGTTCCTGCTTGTTTGCCTTTTGAACTGTGTGGAGAGAGAATGTCAGTGGCTTAGCAAACATTGCGTCTCTCAGAAAAAGATCAGTCTAATGATCAAGGCCACCAAGAGATTGCAGTATAACTGAGATGAGACAATGCTGGTTTAACAAAATTCTTGGGCTTTCAACTTTCAGGGTAACTAATCAGGTGGACCCCAGGGAAGGTTTGCAGAACCAACCGCCAGCTATCCTTCCTGCAGTGAATGTAGTGGATTCATTCAAAAAAACTTCTCTGTACTGCATGGGAATTGCATTTTCCCCAGGACACAGTGTAGCCTCCCTTTGTTAGTCTGCGATCAGATATGCACATGTGATCATCCAAAGCCACAACAGGGTTGGCAATATTTTAAATGACTCTTAGCATGAGCAGAGTGTCATTGAGATAAGCCGATCTGAAGGAAAAACGGGCAATCATTATGGAGACTATGTGGAATGAACAATGTTATGTCTTAAGGCTGTATATCTGAAGTCTGCTCTAGGAATAACACTCTTTAACACAGCCTTAACTGCATAAACAAACATACTTTCCTGAATGAGGGAAACCCTCCAAATTCTTCCACTCAAACTACACAAATTAGCAAAACATAGCTTATAAAACCACATCTGAATTTCCTACTGACTTCCTAGAATGCTCATTTTTCTCACAAATGAGGCCAGATAGCAAACACTAAGCGGGTTCACACTCAACCACTGCTTATCAAATAAACTACCATTGGCTAGCAGCACTCTGCTCATAGCATGGTAAACCATGGCTTGCAACCAGAATGGGTGAGAGCACTTTCTTATAGTCAAAGTGCTATCACTGAGTTCCTAACTAACAGAAAAGCATGCTGGCATAAACTCTGTTGTCCCCATTGTCAATTCCAGCTCTACCACAGTAATGAAAATGCCAACTGGTGTTTACGTACTTATTATGGGCCCAATTAAGGAAAGGGAGTGGTGGATTTCCCTGGCTTGGTTCCCCCTCCTACCCAGCTCTCCTCCAAGGGGATTAACAACCACCAATCCTTAGCATAGGGTGGGGTGAGTTCAGATGGATTATTAGAATGGCAGGTTTAGTCACCTATCAAATTGCCTAACTAATGGGAAGAAGCGGGGAGGTGCTCTCCACGTGTTCCGTACAAGCAGTCACCATACCTGTTACTTGTCAGTCAGGCTCACCTGACAGATAACAGATATGAAGGAGGGTTACAGAGTAAAATGAGAGTGAGGTCTACCAATATTCCTACTCCATGCAGCCACTCCTCTTCTGTAACCTGTCAGTTGGGCTATTCCTGAACATGGGCCTAACACTTTTACAAAATAGTGACAAACTCACATTAGAACCCAGCAGACAGGTGAAAGACACAGAGGGGTGTGTCTGGCAAGTGAGCTCCATCTGTGCTGATAGCAAGTGACTTAGGAGCCCTGCTGGGACTTCATTACCTGCACTACCTAGAAGTAGCCGGTAGGCCACCATGGAAAACATGCACGTTAGAGCAAACTTGTAGAATCACGCTACTGTGATTGGCCTGCCCATAACAACAACCGTCATCCCCATGGGGCCTATTGCTGCCAAAGCTGGAAAGGAAGAGGTGAAATGGTGTTCCCCCTCACCTAAGGCAACATGTTAGCATGGTGCATTGCACAAACAGCTACACCAACTGCACCTACAGGCCAGGAGAGTGGACTAGTCGGGGAGACAGTTATAGTGCTGCTCATCACTCCTCAGAAATGGTAAAGTAGTAAAAACAGCAAAAAAGATGGTTCTGCAAACTGTAATGCACCTTCTGTGCAAGCACAGTGCTCGTGCTCTTTCAAAGGGGCACTAAACCCACGATTATCTGGGACCTGCGTGAGATCTGACAAACATTATGGAAAGTGCCAGCCAAGCATTATCCAGGCAGAGCCCCTGCACAAACTAGCTGTCCGTCCGCTTTCTCCTACAGCCCAAGCCAAAATGGTCGTGGAGCAGAGAGGGCAGGCCTGCAGTGGCCTAAAGTGACCAAGAGGAGCTAGAGAGATCACTTGAAGCTCCTGGGGCATGGGCTGGGAGTGAGGGGAAGGCAATGTTAGGAAGTCATGGCAGAAAAACAAATGGTGGTTGAGGCCTGTTTGTGCTGCAGTTTCTGCAAGGGAAGAAGAGCTCTGATTTCTCACATCTCCCCAACCATTGTAGAGCAGGATATGAATTCAGGTATTGTGAAGAAGCTTGGAGTTATTGGGATTATCTTACACACTAGTTTATTGAACAACATTATGATTCAGGTGATGTGTGAACCCAGCCATTAACAATAAACCAGTGTGTAAAATAATCCCAAAGAACCCCAAGTTTTTTCACAGTACCTGAATTCATGTCCTGCTCTACAATGGAAGGTGCATGGCATCTGAGCCCAGTAAAAGAATTTTGTTGCAAGTGTTGCTGCCTTTATTTCTAAAGGCTTTTCATCATTAAATGAATCCTCAAGCCTCTATATCCTCTGATACTGATTCCCAACCTGGTGAGTTAAACTGAGTTTGAGCTGTCGAAGTTGCAACTTCACAGGCCAGTCTACAGAGTCTACCTATGAATTCTTGTCACAGATTTTAAGGAGGTGATCCTCAGGGACTAGGAGAGCCAGTTTAGCATAGTGGTTAAGGCACCAGGAGAAACCAGGAGACTTTTAGTCCCGCCTTAGGCATGAAGCCAGCTGGGTGACCTTGGGCCAGTCCCTCCCTCAGCCCTGGGAAGAAGGCGGCAAGGGCAAGCCACTTCTGAAATCTTGCCAAGAAAAGTGCAGGGCCTTGTCCAGGCAGTTGCCAGGAGTCAACACTGACCCGAAGGCGCACACATACACACTCCGGGATTGCAATCCTCCCTGGGAGTAAACTCCTACTGAATTCAGTGGGGTCTCCTTTTGAGTGGTCACTTCCACTTGGTGCTGAGGGTGGCCACTTCTGCGTTGCCATTCGTGAGGAATTTTCCAAGCCCAAATGACCACAACCCTTGGCATTGCATTTGCATAACCTTTACACTTTTACAACATTTACACGCGCTGCTTTCTATGCATAGATGCGCATTGAGAACAAATGAATATCACTCAGATAAGCACCGAACGCAGCTTAGCACAGCGGCGGGGAAAATCGTGATCGGGTAACATCCGCGCCTGTTCGCCACTCTGGCCACGTACAGTAGTAGCTTTGGCGGGACCTTTCAAGCCCCTGCCTACCAGACAGTACGCTGAAGTTGGCAGGGGCAGCCTTTCATATGGAAGGCACGTTCACGGGGAGAACTTTCTGGCTATCCTCCTTTTGCAAAACCTTGATTCTTTCGTCACAGGCAGGCGTTGCAAAATGTATTACACTTGAGTACACAGGAAAGTTGTTTGCGCACCTAAATACTATTGGGAGAGAGGGGGAAGCAGACAGGCGAGCAAACACACACATCCCCTTCTTATTGGACAAACCCTCTCACCCTTCGCAGCCAATCAGAGCTGCTGAGGCGCTCCATCTGCCAATCAGCTTGAAGCGGAGGAAGAGGGAAAGGAAATAGGTGAAGTGTTAACTAGTAGCATTGCGTGAAAGATATAAGAGGTCTCCGCGTGGCAGAGGGCGACCCGGTTGGCTGTAGCCCCCTCATCCGTCCTTGGGAGCTTCTGGGAGAGGCGGAGACGACCCACTGAAACGGTACGTGCAAATGTGTATGGGAAGGTTCTTCGGAGGGTAGGGAAGAGAGGAAGGGCGTGAGAAAATAAACCCTCCTCGACTTGAAACAGAGCCTCTAGTCCTTCCTGAAGGACTGCTCCTTATAGCTTCGCCCATTGACCGGGAAAGCTGGGAGTCAGTTCAACGACCGCTCAGCCCCTTTCCAAATCGTGTATCGGTCCCTCAGAAAGCGGCGTCCGTGACAAGAGAGCAGGGCTTCAAATGCAAGCGTTTTCACTCGTTACACAAATGCAGAGGATTTTCTTCTCCCTACTCAAGTTACGGATTCGCCCTTTAGAATCCGTCTCATCTGCTTGCGGCTGACCTGTTTTTCTCTGAGCATCTTCGTCTCCGATGTAGAGGCACCTTTCTCAAAGAGGTTCACTGGTCTAAAGCAATTAATGAAATGTCTCCCTGCCCAAAATAAGGATGCAGCCCCGGATCCCCCAATATCATTAACGAGATTCGAGTGTCCACTTCAATTATGCAAGAAGTTAGTCCTACTAGAAGCAGCCTAGATCTTCGGGTCCCCGGGTAAAAATGAACAGGATGGGAGATGGGCGATCACATTTCCAAGCAGCTCCTTTGGAGTTGGGGGGGCAGAGTGCTAGGGTGTACTTAATAACTCACTATTATTAAATTGGAGGGACCAACCTATGGCTCTCCAGATATTGCTGAATTACAATTCCCAGCATCTGTACTATTAGCTATAGAGCAACAGGAGTGGGAGTGACTGGTCCTGTATTGTAATGATAAGCAAGCTTCATGAGATGATGACACACTTGGAATTTTGAGAAATTATTTATTTATTTGATTTATAGCATGTTGTGAGCACTCTTCCAAAATGGATACCATGAGGGAGGTTGGATACAGTATTGGCAAAGTGGTTGCTATAAGTAATGATAGCCAGTCCCAAAAAAGCCATTTACCCAAAGGCAAACTGATGGAATTGTTCATATTCCCAGTAAGTATACATTTAATCCAAAAGTGAGTGCTATGTTGCCCTTCAGGTATTGTTGGACTACAATTCCCATTAATCTTTCCTACGACCATACTGTCTTCGACTTATGAGAATTGGAGTTTGACAATATTTGGAGGACCACATATTACCCATCTGTGCTCCAAGCAAAGTGGTGGTAGGATAGGTTTCAAGAACATGTAAGATATAGCCTAAAACGTTTGCAATGTTCACCAAGATTCCAGACAAACATTCACTGAGGCAACAAAACCTGCCCTGTTAAGTCAAGGACTGCAAAAATCTATTGGGAAATCTGATTTTGTTATCAGATAAGAAAATCCTATTATCTTCTTTTGTACATATATAAAGTTCTTAGGTCTTACTGTCTGCCAGACCCAGTGTTTTGAAATGCCAGGAAGGCAATAAAAAGGAGGTCAAATAGTCATCTTTAGCTGGATAAGGATCACATATAGGCCTCCCATGGCTGTATCAGGACCACTTTGCTCCCAAAGGTGTTCAACAGGGATGTGGTCTTTCAAAGGTTTTAGGAGATGAGGAGGAGAATGCTTCTTCATCTCAGCTTTTTTTCCCTCATTGCTCATATGATGCCATCTTTTTCTCCACTACTACTTATCCATTACACAAATACTGAGTAACTTTAATAGCTGGGAAGGAAATATTGATCCATTTGATATGTGCAAATACCAAAGCACACTTTGGAGGGGGCCTGGCAGTTATTCTTCCATGAAGAACCTGAGGAGACTTCTAAGATAAGCCACCTTTCCTATCTATTAAAACAGCCCTCTGTCTAAGCCATGATTGAACATGATTAAACTGCACAACTCATCAAATTTTAAAGCAGTTGACATCTTCTATTATTTCCTTTACGTTCATTATTCCAACTGAGATTGCTCTCACTGAGGAAGGATGACTGTTGACAGAAGGGCCATTCAGAAAGGGCATATTTTCTTATTATGACTCACACTTTTAAATGGCATGATGTTTCTGTATGTGAATTGACTTTTTAAAAAGTCTATGTACTAACTATGAATAGTGAATGCACAAATCTCTTTGCTTATTTTGTTAAAGTAGTCTTGATAACTTGATAATACAGCTGGTGTTACGGGTACCTTTGAAAAAGCTCATAGCAGGACAGGAGAGGCATCAACCTTAACTTCAGAGGGGATGCGGTTCAGAGTTAGATAACAATCTGTTTTTCTTAAGTATTCAAATTATGTTTGGTGAGGATGGCTTATTCTATTTCTAGGTGTCATCAATTTTAATTTTTTTTTTCACAGCTAGTGGGCCTCAACTGCAAGAAATGGCATGTTTCTCTGATTTTTTTTTTAAGAGGTCCTGACAACAAGGGATCTTAAAATAGATATCGTTTGGGATCCGCTGCTGTTGAATATCCCAAAATAAGACTCTAGAAGTTTCTGAGACTCTTTCTCCATTTTAAACATTCTGAAGTCATTCCCTTGCTGTTTCATTTTATACACATGTGGGTTTTTTCCCCCATGGAAAATATAATTCTAAACTTTTAGGAGCCCCCCTAAGTCAAAATTGTGATAGCATTAGAAGGACAAAACATCTGGGCCAGATTGTACCTTTCATAACAAAGGGCAGATCGTCATTTCTCCTGCTGCACAGATTCCTTATGAGTGCACATATGGAGTTTACAAAAAAATCTTTTTATAGTACTGTTCTGAATCTCCTGGTTGCTGCATTTATGCAAGTGGCTGAAGGAAAAAACTAAGGTCTATTTGTTGCTGAGCTGCATGGAAGTTGGGGTTCAAAGGATAAATAGTACAGATGAATGCAGAACTGGAATGTTGGGTTTCAATTGCATTGATTCTTTCATTCATTTATAGTCTGGGAAAGTCTTTTGGAAAGTGCTGGCGATACTTGTACCAAAGAGCCTCTGGAACCCTAGAATTGACTACTGTTAAGTGGAAAGAGCTCCTTAGGCACCTTATACTATAGGGCTTTTTTTTGTAAAAGATCCATAACCATGCAGACATATCATGGCTAGTTTTTTTTTTCTCCCTCAAAGCAGTGTTGGCCAGTTCTCCTACACAAACACACAGAGAGACAGAGACTTCTGTTCTGCATGTTCTTTTCCACTATGCAGTCAAACACTTATTATAATTCTTTTCTTTCAGATAAACTTTAGTATTTGGAATTCCCCCCCCCCCCCGATAAATAAATAAATAACATTTTGAGAGCTCCTAGTGCTACCGATCGGAAGACTGTGGAACTATTCAGTCATTTATTTCCAAATACTGTGTATATTACTGTTCCTGTATTATAAGAAAAAGATGCATAAATTGGTGGGATAACCCAAGAGAGTTATAGCTGTAGTGTGACATTTGGACACTCATACACACCCATCCCCCATTACATTCCATGATTCACTTTCTGGGGAGCTGTGAACTGATGGAGTCTCCTTTTAGCGGACTGAATCCAGATGTCTGCATGCTTGAAATAATGAACCCACTAAAATCAACAGAGCAAGTTATGATAACCAACCTTTTGAAGTTGCCTTACTTCTGAAGAAATGTATGTCTCTTGACCACAGCTTTCTGTTCTTTCCCTTTTCCCCCATCTCTTCTTGATGTTTTTGAGCTTTCTGCTTGCTTGAAGGCTGTGCAAGAGGCAACTTTCATCTTTTCACTCTTGCAGGTCTGCAAAAATACACAAATGCACCTATGACTATTTTAATGCTTGGCTGCACTTTGTGTGTGCGTGTACCTTGGAGTCAGTTTTGTACTCCTGGCGACTGCCTGGACTAGTCCCTGCCGTTTTCTTGGCAAGGGTTTTCAGAAGTGGTTTGCCATTGCCTCCTTCCTAGGGCTGAGAGAGAGGGACTGGCCCAAGGTCACCCAGCTGGCTTTGTGTCTAAGGCGGGACTAGAACTTATGGCCTCCTGGTTTCTAGACTGGTGCCTTAACCACTACACCAAACTGGCTCTCATTTAACTGCACTATAGACGATTGTTTTATTTATTAAATTTGTATTCTGCCTTTCATTCAGGACCTCAGTGAGCCATCATAAATAGCACTCCTTTTTCCTGTCTTTCACCATCACAATAATCCTGTAAGGTATAATTAAAGAAGTTTTATATAAAAGCACTATAGAAAAATTCTAATCCAAAATTCTTTTTAACCAGTGTAGCAAATCTTTACCGTTAGTCTGGGTAGCACTATATTATTAAACCTACTTAGACTGCTACTAAAGTCCATACCTTTGGTGTCTAGCAAGTGAAAAGGGCAATGATTCTAATCTATGTAATGGCTGTATGCATTAAATCAGTGGTTAATTATTCTTCTCCATGCAACCATGCTTTAGACTTAGCAAAACTAAACATTAATTGTCTTAGGAACAGAAATACTTTTATCAGTAGGACACATGCCCTAAAAGATTCATAGGAGGCTTTGCAAATTGCACATCTACCCCCCTTCCCCCAAAATACACACACTGCAGTCCAGGTCAGAAACCATGGCTGGAAAGCACAACGTGCCAACCCTCTTATGACCTCAGTTCTTGCCCTTTAGTCTACCCTCTGTTGTAACATTAACAGAAGGCAACCTTTGTGCTGTTACTACTGGGCATTTTCTTTTTTCCTCTCTCTTCTTCTGTAGCTCTAAGGAAAGATAGAAAAAAGGCTTATGTTCTAGCACTGTTGACAATTCCTGCCCAGGTCCTGTTGTCTCACTGCCAAGAACTTGATTAGGCAAACGGCCTTGTTTACTTTCAATGCCCCTGATGTATCTTAAATGCCACCATACTTTCTGTGGCACTGCAACACCCTTTTCCTATTTTGAAACTTTTAGGCTTAGGAAATACAATTTATTTTTTACAAAATGGGCTTAATTGGCACCTAGTTACTCCCTCCCTTATTGCTACCCTTAAAAGCTTGGGGGGATGGACAACTTTTCCTAGAAACCAAAGCCTCTTATTTTATTATGACCTGTACTTTTAGAAGCGATAGAAACTTTTCTTTATTGTTGCTTTCTGCAATGTGGTATCACCCAGATGTGCTAGAGTAAGTCATGCAATATAACTCTGAACTCCCTTTTTTAATTGTTTCCAGTACTATCCAATTTCATGCTGCCAAAAACTACTGATGGGTGGTGAGAAACAAAGGGAGATAGGTAGGGTAAGTCTCCAATGGGCTTCACATACCTTTGCAAGTGGAAACACGTATTTTCTTTTTCACACTTATTTATTTATTCATTTAGTTATTCAATTTATATAGCTGCCAATCTCTCACATGTGAGTTATTGCAGCATTTATATCCTGCCAATTTCAAATGGCTCCAGGCGGTTACTTATTCTATTGCCAGCTATAAAGATCTCTCAGCAGTTTGCAATAAAACCCCAAACCAAAGCCAAGCCCACTAATATTAAAAACAATTAAGCTTAATGGTTAAAATAGTTTAAAGATTATTTTAAAAGATGCATTTTAGTGTATTTTTCATATCAAAGATGTTCAGAGATAAACCTTCCTTATTTAGGCAGGCATACATTTTTGTGAGATGGACAAACTTTGTACAATTTTGTTTACACACCTTTTTAGAATTGTATTTTGTGGTTTCCAGTGGTTTTGCATGCTCTGTC